GCCATTAATATGAATGTCAAATCCACAAACAGTGCTGTGGCAGGGAAAGTGCAAGGTTACTGTTTTGTCCATTTAACTGTAACATTATTTTCCATCTCTTGTTCAGCATTAATATCTAAATGTTGTATAACTACATGATTTGTCGTGTACGAGCACTGAATTTCTTCTAAAAGTATTTTTCTTCCCAAAAATTATTAATGTTTATAAATGTTATTATATTATGATATTTTTGTCTTTTCGTTGCTGCAAAAGTATAACTGTGAATGTTTTTATTCATGGTTTAAAGCCAGTTGTGTACATTCAGGGTATTTGTGTCTATGTTTTGTTTTTACATCACACCAAAAAATTATGTGTATTTGCTGCTCCTTTTGTAAAACTTCAAACATTATATTAAATACAAAATGTCAATAAAACCTGCTATGCAGGCTTCCTAATTGTAGTCTTATTCCCTTTCTTTCATACACACACACACACATACACCTATGCTTAAACACATTTTCTCCATCATGCACTGATATCATTAGATACAGGGTCAGAAAAAATGTGCAAACATTTTTTTCCTTATCTACCCCTAAGGGTATCTAATAGACTCCCTTTATGGCTAAATAAGTTAGTAAATAAGAGCTTTTGAGGGTACTTTTCCAGTGGCAATTATCATTTCACACTTTACCACCATGTCTTATTTCTATTAATATACAGGTGAGAATAACTAACAACTTTTAAATGTGATACTAGTCATTCAAATCTGGCAGACGGCCACAAATGCGTACTGTGGCAAGGACCGTTGGGACTATGACGTACATTATCTGTCTGGTTTACTCACTGTGGGTGTTGTGGGGAGACACATATAGGCTACACTCACTAGAAAACAGACTCAAAAATCAACACACAACACCCACAAAAAGTACCTTGAGTTCAAAGTGATGCACAATGTCTACTTTTGTACATAATAACTCTACCTTATCTACTGATTAAAAAAACTGCTGAATAAAATGTAGTCATAGCTTTGGCTTTTTATTTTGGTTTATTTATTTATTTATTTTTAATAGTAAATAGGCTACTAAATGTTAAAGGCATTGCAGTTCCTTTGCTGTTGAATATATTTGTGCAGTGCAGACAGGGACAAATAACCACAAAGCACAAACACGCCTTAAATCTGTCTGCCTGCTCTGCTCACGACAGGAAGTGGCAGACAAGCCAATGTATGTTCTTTCCACTGTGTGCAGGTACATGTGACTGACGCTGGTTTTTCAGTCGCTGATAATATGAGGTTAAATATTATATAAAAATAAAATTAAAAAAAGACATAAAACATAATAAAAAGGATAAACACTACATGCACGGTGTGACGTATCAAATCTACAAGCTTAATTAAATATTTTGGTCAGATGTTTGTCTTTAAAACCCTTTTGTGTCTATTAGACTCCACCTAGTGATGAACATGCACATTTTTTCCAAGCGTGAAACATGTTTAAATGTTAAACATGTTTAAAAACATGCGTTTTCAGCTTTTTCGGTGTTTAGGATTATCCTAGCACGTGGACTAAAAGGCAGTGAAGGGTTGCCATGGTTTCAGCATTCCATTATTTGTGTTGGAGGAGGAAGTCGCATGTGCTTTCACTTTTGACATAGGCTATATGATTAAATTTTGACGAGATATAATGACGTTCACTCATCAAAATTATGCGACCGCCGGGAACTTGGACGACAAAGAAAGAGGAACACTTGGAAGAACATTCCACATGTTCTTATCCGGTCGAAAGGATCAATGATTGTTCTATGGAAAGCACGAGGGATAAAAACAGCAGGAAGTCGCACAATAATGGAGTGGCGTGCAGCGCACCTACTAAATACCCGTCTACTGCACCTACTGTAAGTGGCAGTAATATAAATGTTAAATGCACGTAAGGAAGAAAACAATCACAATGTAATATGTAAATAGAAGAAAACCGAAAACCAATCACATTTCAGTATGCAAATTAGCATTACATCATCGCTTACCTGCTGAAAGTGTCAGTGGGAGACTTTGAGGTCAATCCAAATTTGAAATGGGGTCTTCATAGAGTATTACGAAAAGAAATATGAGCGTTTCACTAGCACATCACTGACTAGAAGTCTGTCTGTACTTGTCATGTGTATTTGGCTTATGTACCTAATCATTTTAGTGTAACTGGCGGGTCCAGAGCAGGTTTCGGACAGATCTCACTCCACCACCACTTGAAGGTGAGTGCATGTCTACGGCACACTTTTCATAGTTTCGTTCCAGATTTGCAGGGATGTTTTATCTTGACAACTTGTTTCATCCCAGGTGCCTCTTGGTCAGCAGAGTGTGATAAGGTAAGGGGTTTATTCCTATGAATATTATCCTTTATATGGGACCCAAAAGAAACAGAACCTTTATATTATCATAGTCCAGTAGTAGCATGTCATCAATTGGGGTTTTGGGGTAAATATCTTGTTTTAAACTTTGAACCTTCACTACTTTGTCTTTGCCAACAAAAGGTTTCAAATAGTAATAAATAATTTTTTATCTCTGCTAGTGAAATGTTTTTAATAGACATATTACATATAACTAGTGTGTCCACAGAGGTAACTTTAGATGACATATCCTTTGTCTATTGACACTCTTGTTTGAATATTCTGTTCACAGGACGCCTACATTACTCAGTTAGTACAGCGACTGGAAAGTCTGTACATGTCTGTGGCAGTGAACACACAACAGGTATCAATGTTTCTTCTGCATATGAAGTTACTTTAGCTGCGACTGTAACTGAGTATTATTTAGTTTATATATATATATATATATATATATATGAATGTACAGTAACTCCAAGGTGTAATAAATGTATTTAGACACTTAAAATGTCTGAATGGTATTGCATTAGATAATAAAGTATCAAACCAAGTGGCATTTCTTTAAAAAAATAAATACAAATATACCGTATAAATAAAATAAAAATAATAAGTAGAGTTCATTTTAATGTTTGATATTTTGAGACATTCAGTAACAATTATACATTTGTAAGTAATATGTGTGCAAATAGATAAGTCTTTGTATATTTAAATGAAAATCATAAAGATTGCAATGCATTTTATTTTGCAGGTATCTTTGGTAGGCAGCATTTCTAATGCCTGTATGGCACAGGAACCACCCACCTGTTGCAGCCAAACAAAATCATCCAAAGTGTAAGTAGATACTGACTTCTTACTGACCCATCACGCATTGCCAGCCAGATGACAGCCATTAGTGTGACAGGGTCATCTAAGTGTAAAGTGTTTTGAAATATCAATCCTAATTATGCTGGCAGTGGCAGTATTATTTGCAGTAGGTGTTCTATAATGTTTTTTTATTTAATTTGCATTTAATGTAAAATTAATATCTTAGAAATGTAGATCAGGACTTGGCACAGAGACTTGATGTGTTTGCCAGGAATCTTAACCTTTTGTTGAACTGGATGTAGCTTAGTTTGTATCATGCTGCAACACTAGACTTCTCACTCTTTGCCAACCTGGAATTGATACTCCATGCCACAATGCTTGGACATCTATTGAAGAGGTTACATGGCATCTAGAGAAGTATTTCTCTTGTAATAGCTGTTTCTGTACTAATTATTTTCTTCAGCTCAAAGCAACATCATAAAGCCCAGTTAAGGATGCTGTCTCACAGATGGCAGAGGCTTGGTCTTCAGCCTCCAATCCTCTGGGACACACAAGAACACATTTCCCAACATAAACCTGAGGTAGAAACCAGAATAGAACTGGAAATCCACCCCATACAGGTCAGACGCATTGTTTCTCCAAGGGGCGAACGACCAGATGAGATCAAGGCAATCAGTAATTCCCTTTGTAGCAGATCCAATAATGAACCATCCGAATCAGTCGAATCTGAAAACAGTGACCTCTCTGACCAAGAGAAAGACAATAAACCTATATTAAAATGGGAAACTGCTGTAGAATTGGACCTGAGGCCAGACTCATTTGATAGAGATCTAGAACTTGCAGAAGGAAAAGGAGAGCAAGTGTATCCTGAGGTTCTTCCATTTCCACTCAAAGATCTCAACTTTAGTCAGTTGCTGTCCACCGCAGATGATCTGGATAGCCAGCACAACCTGTGTTTAACTGACCCTTGTCTCCCAGCTGTGGCTGCACGCATGATAAAGCTGGAGAAACTTCAAACTGCGACTATGCAGAAAGAACAAGGAAAAGCAGCCAGATCTCGTCCAGCAACTGCTTTGGTTCGAAGCGCCAGTCGTCTGAGACGTGTGGAAAGCCCTTGTTCTCAGGTAGAACACTTCAGGACTAAAGGAAATAATTCAGGTTTAGAAGATGTTACAAAACGTATCCTCTCTACAAGCACTCATTCAAAGTCTATGCAACGTAATCGCCCCTCGCCAAATTCTGGGAAGATGTGGATTGGATTTCAGCAGCCACCAGCTTTACCTAAGAAGCCACACTCTGGTGTGGTCAAATTAAAGAAGACTGAAGCCCTTGTTCAAGATCTTGTTCATCCGAGCATGTCACCAAAATACAATAGTCCAAATAGTTCCAAGAGATGCAAACCCACAAAGAAAGCCATGCCAAAGCATCAGAAGACTTCCTCTGAAAAGACTAGTGTTCCTGCTAAAGCTCTTTGCAAGAAAACATAATTATTTTCAAGGTTTTTAAGCTTGAAGATTGACAGTGTGTTATTACCTGTGTGCATGTTACTGTATTTATTGTTCCAAATTCAATACAAGTTGAGCTCCATCAACATTTGTGGTATGCTGTCAGTTACCACAGAAAAATAACTTCAGTTTTGGGGAAAAACATCTTACACAGTAACCCAAAACATTTCTTCAGTAGCTCTTTGTTTTATTTGTGGGCTTTTGGGTGCTTTTTATTGATATAGTCAAGTGATAAGGGACATGCGCTAACCACATGCAGCAAAACTAACTGTAATACAGTGTTATTAATTTATCAAAAGACTTCTACGTAAAAATGAAACAAAACCAGACAATAAGTAATTTTAAAATTCACCATTTATTAATATTCTTGTGAAATATTGGCTGTATAATCTGACAAAAAATGAACATATTGTTATGCTGTGCACAGATGTCGGTAATTTCCCCCTTGAATGGATAAGAAGATGAGCTCTTGAAAGGCACTTCAATAATAGAGTAGGACAGCAGCTGGCCGTCAGGATCTCTCTCACATTTGGGAGTCACATGTGGCCATGAAAGTAGGGAAAATTTTAACACTTACCCTGAAAATAGAATTGAAAATGGTTAGTTGTGGTTAAAGGAACGGTTACCTGTATTATATGTAATTACATTGTTACTTGCAAACATGTATTTCTTAAAAAGGAAAAGCATTACCTTTTGGTTGATAAATCTGGAATGTTTAATACCAGATTGTAACAATTTTTATGTACGTTGAATCAATTTATTTTATTTTAGGAACTTGCATTGTATATATGCATTATATATGGTGTATGAATTATAAGAATGAATTGCTTATAAATTGCAAATTTAAGAGGCATTTATTGGGTTTAGGCAAAAATTCGCTTGTACTGTATGAATACATTTGGATTTGACAACATTTATTTAAAAAAAAGAACAAAACAGATTCAGTAACTGTCAAACTTTATCACAGGCTAAATGAGGAACTACTTATTAAACCACATACTATATTGTCAGCTTAAAATCAACAGCTTAATTCTCGTAAGAGCTCGCTCTAAAACAGAAACCTTTTCCAGATGAGATTTCCTTTAAGAGTCTTCTTTAACAGACAGCACCTACAATACAGAGAATAAATATACCAGTATCTTGATACATTACAGAAAGCACACATTCTTGAAATATCCTGGGGAAATACACAATCATCAGCCGACACAAAAGGTGACTAAATCAGTCCATTTAGGTCTTGAATATAAAACGGTCCAAGAACGAACCTCGGTGGTACACACCAATGGATAAAGTCAATGCAAGGTCCTCACAAAGCTGAATATGGATAGGTTATTCAATGATCATTATTCTGTTGTCTTTTTCATTTTTCTTTTCTTTTCAATGTTATATTTCATTGAATTTACACATACAAAATAAAAGGGTTTTAAATACAGAAAAATATATAGCTGCCTTTATATTTATCATTATATTTTGGGTCCTTGGCAGTTAAAAAACCCATTGTATGCTGTCAAGTTCATTGATATCATCTCATATCTACAGCCCAAAAAGCTGGATTAGACATGTAAAATACAGGCATTTATCGATACTACAGATGAGATGGGAACATTAATCCCATGAGAATCAGCCCTCTGAACTGGCTGTTCATTTCTAATCAGATCTTTGCTTTGTGTTGGATCTAAACATGCCTTTAGGAGTGACCTGGATAAAGGGCCTTGAAGAGGTCTCGTCCCTTTGAAAGCAGAGGCAGGCAGGAGGATGATGGACAGACATGTCTCCATTGGCCAGAGAATATACTCGAACACAGTGGGAAACAGTGGGAGAAACAGCACAAACAGCAGTTAGTGTCAATGAAACAAAACCCACCATAAGGTTCCAAAGACGCTGAATTATGTTCTTACAGTGTTACTATGATTAACTCAAATGAAATGCTTGAAAGACAGACAACTTGTGGGAACTCTAAATTCGTGTTTTTTTTTTCATCACAAAACAGCTTTATTTTTATATTGTTTAATAACAAATAATGTGAATTTACAATCAATTCTAATTATTCCATTATCATGCAGGACAGGCTTTGCAAAAAATAACAGGCAGATAATTCTTCCAGCATACTTTATGACCGGTCTATCTTTTAGATTTGGAACACAAGGAATTGAGATATGAATAAAGAAGCAATTACCGCTTGTAACAAGCAGATTCATAGATCAGAGCAGGAAAACCCCTGTATCAAAAAACAACATGGTCACAAACACAAGAACAGTCACAAAAAAGACATCTAAATTGCCTATGCATAATGAAAAACACCAGAGGGTTTGTACAGTAGTGCATTGGAATCCATACATATTACATTTTCTCATGCATATTGAAAAGCACTCAATAGATTGTACAAAAACTATGACACAGAAGTGTGACAACTCTGAAAAAGGTGAGGTATGTCTATCAGAGGCAGTACACTGAAGGTGCTTAGTCCATTGCAACTACTCGGATTTACCCTTACCCTTAATGTCAACCGTAACCGGTTCCTTCCATTTTTGAGAAAGCGATAGTCAGTCTTTTCATTCATACAGACTGTTTTGTCTCTGTGAGAAACACCACAACAGAAGCTCTGTTCCAAAATCTAGTGAAGCTGCCTCACTACCTATTGCATACTAAGGCAGCACCTCAAAAGCGAATGTTTTGGAATGCTCTACATAGGTTCTCGATTGCAATACTATATCAAACATAATAAATGCACGTCATTCAAAATTTGAGTAAAATTGTTTTTCATTTGAAACTTTTTTTATAATGCTTTTCAGTATTGCACAATGTATACTACTATTCAAAATATGGGGTCAGGAGGTTTTTTTTTTTTTTTGGAAGAAATGGATACATTCATTCAGAAAGGTTGCATTAAATGGATGAAAAAGTGACAGCAAAGACATTTTCCATGTTACAAAAGACAACAAATAAATGCTGTTTTTTTGAACATTCATCAAAGAATCCTAAAAAAGGTATAATTTTTCCATAAAAATACTAAGCAGCACAATTATTTTTAACACTGAAAATAATAAGAAATGCTTATTGATCACTGAATCAGCATATTAGAATGATTTCTGAAGGATCATGTGACAGCAAAAACTGGAGTAATGGCTACTGAAAATTCAGCTTTGCCATCACAGGAATTGTTAATTGTAATAATATAATAATATTACTTTAAATATATTATATTACATAATATTATTTTTAAACAAATAAATAAAAATTAAAGACCCCAAACATTTGAACAGTAATATAATATAATATAATATAATATAATATATCTATGATGCCTCACTAGGCTTTGGTACAGAGCAAAAGGGTGACAAAAGGTTTCAATGCATGTCCATTTCTCCAAATTACATTTTGTAAACATGCAGGAGAAGCCTTAAGGGCATTATGATGACACTTTATTTTGGGCTTGAAAAGAACGCAAAATATTGTTCCCGTTTGTTTTGGAAGGATTCGCTTACCTTCAGTGTACCGATAGAGGTGTACAACCTGCCTTTACAGAGGCCTTCCCTGCAGACCAGGTCAAGCAGGACCCAAGACCTCAGATTCTGCAGAAACACACCTAGGGCAAGGGGCATGCCGTGGGCCTGCACGCCAGGTTGAGTTCTCACTCTCACACCTAAGGGAGGGTGGATATAGACAGCATTTATGCTGGTCTTAAATAAGTCACACTCTAAACAGTCCTTGGTGGTTAAGTAATATTTGGTTTACATAAAATTGTAGAATTTTACATAAAATATAAAGTCTGTGAATCTAGCACACAAATGGATATTTTTACACTCTGAACATTGAGCATAATATCAAATATATTTGACATTATTATTAGCAAGAAGCTGTGTATAAAGCATGCAATCTTAACAATATAGATTATCTTGAAAGATTTTCTTGTAGGTCTTGTAGGTCATCTAATATAGGGTGACCATATTTCAGTTTTCCAAAAAGAGGACAGTGGGGGCCGGAGCAGACGGTGGGGGTGTGTGATGTGTGATTGGTGGTTGGGTTTGAGGGGGGTTATATAATTTCCAAACTCAAAATATGTCATTTCCATACCTAAAATACATATTTTACAGTCACTGTTATGCAGATTGATCATAAAGCTAAAAGGCTTCTTACCAGTGGCAATCCTTCACAAAACTTAACATCTACCACAGTTTATCATGGGTAGAATGCAAAATGTTTCAATGTTACAAGCATTTCAGTCAAATGTAATTTATGCATTATTTCAAACCTTTAACCCACAGAGGAAATCAATATGGCAACAGTAGCCCAATTCCATGGGGAAAAAACGCGGACTTGGCAACCCTGCATCCATCAGATTTAACTGATCATGGGTCCAGACAGTAAGGAGAGATGACTGACAGATGCTGAAGGATTTGCTGCTCAGCAGACTGACAGATGTCTGATCTTATAAGATGTGCTTCCTTTACACAGAGTGCGCGTGATCGACAAATCGAAAGTGGAAGTAAACAGCGAGCGCTCATTCATAAGAGATTTAAATACTCTGCATACTGATAGCGGCTCCCTGATGCGCGAAAATTACGATGCAATATTATAATGTTTGCGTGAGCAGGCAGTAATGGTAAGAAATTCAGCAGGAGCGGGATTAAGAACACAGTCCCGCTCAGGGCTTTAAAGGGTCATGAAACCTCCCTGTTTCAGCACTGGTTAGTTCCCTCTCGAGCTTTCACGAGACATCACGGAGATATTTCTCCGTTATGGGAACTTTTTAGGTCCAAAAGGTCCAAAATATGGTCACCCTATCTAATAATAATAATAATAACAATAATAATAAAATAAAGAAAATCTTGAAAATCTTG